TCGTGCTTGTTAGTTAATATAGGACTGTGAATAGTGTATAAATATTTCCAAAAATTAGACTATTATTTAGAATTTCATCCCCATTAGCAAGAGAATCAGACTACCAGTTCCACATTCACAATGATTTTTAGCTATGAGAGACAGAGACTTAACATGTTTCTTCTCACTCTCTTTCTCTCTCTCTTTTTTGGAAACAGGGTCATACTATGTTACCTATGCTGGCCTTGAACTCCTGGGATTAAGGGATTCTCCTACCACAGCCTCCCAAGGAGTTGGAACTATAAACACATGCTACAATATCCTGTTCACATTTCACTTAACTAAGCAGTTCTTAACCCTGGCTGCTCACTGTTATAACCTGGAGAGCTTTAAAAATGCTGACACCTAAAAAAAAAAAAAAAGAGCTGGGAACATGATTCAAGTGTTAGAGCTGCCTAATGAGTAGGAGGCCCACTCAGGGTGGAGGGAGGGAGGGAAAAAGAGAAAGGAAGCTAATGCTTGGGATCAGACCACACAGATTCTGGTTTAATGGGGCTGGAATGGGATATGGGCATCAGAAGTTTTAAGTGATTATTCAAATATATAGCCTGGCTTAAAACTGCAGGAATTTTATCTGCCTCGTTTGCATTTACTAAGCTAAAAACAGAGTTTACTTAATTGCTCTCTTTCAGTGCTTTGATTTCAGTGTATTTTGTGATTCTCCTAAATTCCTAACCAAATATAAACAGATCACAAAGATGTTAACAGAAATATGGGGCTTTTAGTGTCACTTCATATTCAATCTAGGAAAAATGTCAATTACTGTTCTTCATGGAATTCCCTATGTGAGCTTCAGGAAGAGGGGTCTTAGCTTCAATCTACTATGAGTCCCCACTGCCTAAATTAATATTTAAACTTTTCCAAATATTTAAATCCCCCCAATACATTAAGAACCCGCACAGATTAATAAGAAAAAAATATGCCAGGAAGAAAATGTGCAAAGAACGTGAATAGACTATTTACCAAAAGAATACAAATGGCCAAACATGATTTTTGAACTTTACTAGTGATCAAAGAAATGTAAGTCAATCTAAGATACAATTCTTCTACCAAATCAGCAAGGTTTTGTTTTTTTTAAATAAGTACTTACTATCAAAAATATAACACATAAACACTTAAACTTCTAGATGGATAAACTTAATATATTTTTTAAAAGCAGTACTGGTGATATGTGGTCAAAAGCTCTCGGTGTTCATACCCTAAGTCATAATAGCAAAATGTTAAAAAAAAAAAAAAAGACCAACATTAGGAAAATTATTTTTATAGTTAGTTAAATCATTCAAAATCCAAATGTTCTAAAGAATATTTAGTGTCATGGTTAAAAGCTCAAAATGTAATGCTAAGAAGGAAGACAGAAGCATACCCAGTATGGCAAATTTTGTGGAAGGCAACATACTCAAATGTTAACAAAAGCAGAATTGTGGGTGACTTTGATCTTCTACTTCACATTTTCTATTTTTTAAAATTTCTACAAAGGATTTACTACTTTTGAAAATGTTTTTTTTCAATTCCAAGCAAGAAGTAATTGATCAAGTATAATAATCTCTACCACAGGGGAAAAAAATTATGAGATAAGATGATAACTTGACATGATGCATTTCCGTGCATAAATATGTATGGTGAATAATGGGTTCTGTGACCCTGGCTTCAGTGGGGCTAGTCTGGTCTGACATGGTCACATGGATTGAGAATTCAGGTGATCTTTGACAGTTGTCCTCAATAACTTCCCTGACATTCTCCAAAAAAAAAGAAAAAAAAAAGGCAAATCAGCAGAGACAAGACTCTTACCTAACAAATGGGTATTATAGGGACCTCAGTCTGTACAGGCATTTATATGGCAGACCATTAGACTACAGAAAAGCAGGCCATCATAAATCAAGATGAGATGAAGCTAAACTGAGATTAGAATTTTTTCTGGGAAAACTTTTCTGTTGCCCATTTTTACTGATGCAAATGACTATGCAGAGAATTCATTTCTTGAATTGAATGAATGCCTATTATTCCTGTTCACTAAAGTCAAAATCTTTCCAACAGCAGATTTTTACAGAGCTAGTTAAGAGTGGTTTTTATACAGAGACTGATCGCTGATGAAAAATAAAACTGTAAAGAAAATGTATAATATGCACACACAAAAAAATCTGTAAAGATAAATCACTCAATTAAAGACTTAAATACTAATGGTAACTACCAGAAGATATTTTTACATTAATTCACTACAAAATATTATAATTTACTATAAAATACTCTCTTTGCTCACCTCTAAGTCCCCCAAATGAAAGTACTGCCTGAATTACCTTGATATGTACCTCCAAACAGATACTTAAAACATCCATATACACCCCCAAAAGCTTCAAGAAGAAAATGGTGTAGTGCTGATAGTTAACTAAGCTGCCTGTCAGCTAATTAATATTTAAAAAACAAATTTCACAAACATCTATTGCCCAGATATCAAAAGCATCATGCATTGTGTTAGACTGCATCATTATTTGCACTCTTTAAAAGAAAACACACTAATTATTAAATTACTTGGAGTAAAGTACATTCAGGACAACTCCTTCAACTTTTATGCTATTGCCAAACAAAAGCTTATAAAAAGCATTTTCTGAATTATTAAATTGATTGTACCTTAATGAAACAGTATAGTAAGAATCTCAGTTTTTACTTTTCCACTTGGTTTCCATTCTGTGTAAAGAGTTGGATTCAAATTTCAACATCCAAAAGATTCTCTTAGAAACATCCAGTTTAGGTTCACCTGAATGTCCATGTTGTTGCACTCAAGTCAGTTCATAATACAACTTTTCAACAACTGCTCTTGCTACAAAGTTGTGTGTGCCTCCCCTCTTGCCCAAAGTCATAATGGAACTCAGGAAATTAAAGTATACGTAACTGTTACATTAAAAATTCACAATGTCACAATTTTTCAGACATAACAATATGGACAGTTGACCTGAAATTCTTAAATATTTAAACTCTAGGTTGTTCCATCTTTGCTGTTTTGTATAATTATTAAAAAGATCATTCATGCCTATCTTGTGTGAATCACACCTCCCTCAAAACTGTGCAGTGCACAGCACAGGCGGTCATACACAGAGGCCTGCACCTTAAACTACCATTTGATTCTCCATGATTACCTTAGAAACCTCTATATATTTGCAAAAGCCACAAACATATTAAGTGGTATTAACAAACAGAAACTAAATTATAGATGAAGATTAACTTACTTTTTGATTAGTATACAATTCAGCAGACAGAATACTGGTATTTCAGAAGTTTTAAATGATGGCCAAGATGGTCAAATATGAACAAAGCACACCTGTTATGTAAGTCAAGCAAGGGGAGTGCCCATGAAGACATTTCTCATATCACCTCTACAATGGCATTCTACCTTTAAAGAGAATTTTGTTCAGCCACCTCATTTGTTTTCATAAAAAGACAAAGTATTGAATAGTTACAAAAAAACCCTTTTTGGGGGGAGATGGCATTGGGGATTGAACTCAGGACCTCACCAATTACTGGCTAGGTGCTCTACCACTTGAGCTACACCACTAGTTCAAAAGTATCAAAAGATCCATCATGATCTTGACTAACATATTAGAACAGGATATAGAATGCATGAACAATTTTACAGATGTTTAACAAGGCTTTCTTTAAAATATTATTAAACCTGCCTTGGAACAACCCCCAAATCTGCTTCTCTCTTTAGCTTCATTTATATCCTCTTTCCAGTAGTTTTAATAAGGAAATGCCAAAGGAATTCAATGTACATATTAGAACAGCAAAAAGCATTTGTAAAGATTGTTTAAAACTCATATTTAATATACTATATGGATGATGCTTTTATTATTGTAAGCCGAACACCTATAAAGTGCTTTTAAAGTCATTCTTGCTACTGGGTTTACATTAGTTTGATTAAATTTAATTAACCAATATGATTTTTCTTGAAATATTCTCTGTATATCAGCAATATGCTGTCTTCTTGTGTAGAAACAGAAAACTAGAGGAAAGTAACAGTCATCTATAAAACTTCAGAAAACTAAAACTTCCCCCTCTTTAATGGAGCAATAAACTGTCGTGTTCTATTAAACATTAGGTAGTTTACAAAATGTTCCTAATCTTGTAAGTCTCTTCAATAATGAAAATTCACCACAAAGAACCATTCAGGTATCATCTGCTATGACTCTCAAGACTGCCTTTGTAATACACAGTATCAGATGTGATAACAAGGGAAAGCAGATATACCAAACATGTAATAAACTAGACCCTTATACCAATGAGAGCTGGACAAGGAAATTTCTAACAATTTTAAAGCTTGGGGGATCAGTAGAAATTTTGCAAAAAAAAAAAAAAAAATCTTTCCAATGTGAGTGACAATTTAAGATTAAAATAATGTGCAAAAAGGCAACTAGCTTATCATTCACTAAATAGGGTGAGAAATACAAAAAAGTACTGTTTTAGGAAAAATAGTTATTAAAAAGCTTTAACAAAAGACAAAATGTGTTAGTGATTTCAGACACACAAGCTCAAATGCAGAGGCTATACGATAAATCAATGTGCCTGTTCCTGAGGAGAATGTCATACTTAGTAATAATGCTGAACAGTAAATATTAAAGCTAAGCAGTGCTAAAAAGGCAATGATGGAGTTTAGGTAATATGTTACAGAGAAAGAAACTTGTGAGAAATTCCATTACTTAAAAATAATTTGTCCCTATCATTAACCACTTTTTTTGTTACGGTTTTTTGGGTTTTTTTGCTGTTGTGCTAAAGTGCACTGGAAACCTCAGAACAGATTGTTTTTGTTTTTGCTTTTTAATTGGCCATCTCTTGTTAATAGACTGCAGTCTTCAAATTTATACAGAGCTGCAGGTCTCCTGAATTTTTTCAAATGTCACTCATCTAACCAGGCCTGACAGCTGAGAAATGCCATCAGGTGCTTTACAGTCAGTTTAAAAAACATCCTCTACCTGGTATCTCTGCAGTGATTGTCTTGCTGCTCCCTGAAACCTCTTCTTCATCATCTGATGAGCTTGTACTTGAGTCACAAGTCAGGTCACTATCACTGGTACTACTGTCCTGTAGCAGGTTATACTTCTTTCTTGCAGCAGCCTCCCGTTTTTGCCTCAGTAGTCTGATCCTCTCCTTGTGCTTTTGGCTCCGATGACCTTTAACTTTGGCAACTCGACCATTCTGTTTATCACTGGATTGCCGGTTTTTCTTGGCAGCCATAGTAGATGTTTCACTTTCAGAACGGGACCGCCTAGACTTGCGCCCAACTGTGGCACCCGACACTCCTGAAGGATCTCCTTCTACTGCTGTTTCTGCCTGGGATGGTTCATTCTCTTCTGCAGAAGACAATGTATCTGAATCAGCCAGGTGACCACTAGAGGAAGGGGAAAGCATGCAATGATTAGAGGAGTCACTCTCATAAACTCGGCCAGTTGTCGGCTTGTCACTCTCTGTGGATGCTAACTGAGACTCAGAAGAGTCCCTTCTTAGTTCCATCAACAAGCAGGGCATTGAAGAAAGAACTGTAGAATCTGCTACACCATCTTTTTGAACTTGGGATTCCAGTTCTACAGATCCATCTTCCTCCTTGGCTATCTCTTGTTCAGAGGTTTTTGGTGGGACTTCAGACTCAATGAGTTCTTCAACTTTTCCCACTGCCTCCTCCATCTTCATTTCAGAATTTCAAGTTAAATCATGGAGCAGAATCTAGGAAACGATATCAAAGATGCAACAGGAAACCTGTATAAAAACACACAAAATCAATGAACAGAAATGGAAGATTATTTTATCAATACAACATGCCTACTTTTCTAAGTCGGTGGCAAAAGTTATGACACAGACCATTATCTGCTTGCTTGATCTACAGTTAAATTCAAAGGATTAGCAAAATCCTAGCAGATTCAGCTACTAAAAATTGTGCAATATTAATCCTCTATGACTAAACTTGCAAGGCCAGCAAACAAATAAGCATTTTGAAGTTTAGAACTTTAAACAGAGCTGGGGATGTAGCTCAGCTGTAGAATGCTTGCTTAGGATGTGCAAAAGCCCTTGGGTTCAGTCCCCAGCATCAGCAAAAACAAAACAAAACAAAAAACCTTCGTAAGTACTGGAGAAAAGAATCTTCAAAGCCTCTGACACAGTTAATATGTATGTTTGACTTTAATATAAATGAAAAAGAATACTTTAATTTTTAAAAAGTAGCCTATAAAACATTGAGTTAGCTAGAATGAATACTTCTCCGCACCCCCCCACCCCTGCCGTGGCAGTGCTGAGATTTGAATTCAGAGCTTCACGCTTGCTAGATAAGTGGTCTACTGCTTGAGCCATTCTGCCAACCTAGAATGATTACTACTCTATTCAATTCCTCAAAGAAAGAAGGTGAGAAGATGATAAAAGGGGAAGATATCAATGTATAATAATTAAGAAAAAAACACTTCAAATACATGCATTTGGCAAATGAGCCACCAAAGTAATTATATGTACAAACCTATCTGCATTCCCTTCAAAAGCAGATGCTGGAGAAGGGCATTAAGAGGAACGCCAACCAGGTATGGTGGTACCTGTCCTTTAATACCAGCACTTGGGTGGCTGAGGCAGGAGGATCTTGAGTTCAAGCTCAGCCAGGACTATATAGCAAGGGCTGTTTAAAAAAAAAAAAGCAAGATTCTGCTGCTGTTCTCTCAGTCCTTCCTAGTTCCCATGTCCCTCTTATGCTGAACGTGAATCTAGTGTTAGATGTTTTGTTTCAAAAATAATGGCCAGGAAAATACAGTTCAACTACTTTGTGAACCCAGAAAACTCTATGAATGACTTTAAGAGGATTAAGAAATAACATTCTACACACATTTTATATCTTACATGCTAAATTTAGAACCTAATATCCCTGCTGGTGGATCAGCTCAAGTGGTAGAGCACCTGCCTAACAAGCATGAGCCCCTAAGTTCAAACCCCAGTACAACCGAAAAAAAAATCTGAACTAGAACCTCCCCACCACCACTATGAGATACAACTCTAATCAATCACAAACAGGACATAATCCTTGGCCACAAGAGTTTGTGACCTTTACAGTACAAACTTCATTAACTGATGTTTTCTAAGAGGATGCAAAGACTGTGCAAGGCAAGTCACAATCTCATCCTGTACATAGGATGTTACAGAAGGCCAGGTCCATGATGTTCCACAGATCAGAGACATGAACACTAATTTTTCTGGTATACAATGAGGTACAATATGGCATCCCTATTACTTGTCGCCACCAAAGTATCTGACAATTCAGTCTATGGTAGACAGAAACTCGGAAATATTGAAAAATCCTTTTACTGACCTAACAATGCCAAGCTCACTTTTTGCTTAATGCAAACATGAATATTCTATACAGTCTATTCTGTATAGAATTCTTTCATAACCCTGTTCTTGATTTCTGATAAAACAGGCATTCTGATACTTTCCTTAATACATTTCAGAAGGCCAGAACATTCATCCCCACTGAAACATTTATTAATTTAGAACACTCCTATGTGTAGCCTACTTCATAAGCATATGTGTATCACTATTAATTTTTGAGTTAAATGAAAATGAAGTATAAATGTTTTTCCTAATATTGCTCCAAAAGGAATGTAACACCTCTGAAAGCCAACAAATAGATTAAAGGTTAAACCAAGACTGAAAGTGTCATAAATGAAGTATGCTCACAATCTAAACATGAAATAAAATATTCGTAGACATAAAATACTCAAAGAAAAGAAAAACTCAAGACTTTCTAACTAATAAAAGAGTTGAATCTTTTGCTGTGAATCAATTTACATATTCTAGAATATACTCTGGTTTCTCTTCAGATCGTATAAATATTTCGCCTTTTATATATTCTAGAATAAAGATTTTTTCTGAAAGTTGAAATATCTGAGAAGCACACTCAAATAAAATTAATAAAGCAAAAATATCAAATGCTTCCAATCTCTGGAGGTTCTAGCAGGGGAGCGCAGCTACTTGTATACCCTTGACCGAAGAACAGTCCTCTTGTATCAGGATGATTGTCCACTTCAACCGAGCACGAAGCTTCAGGAGGGATGCATATGGAGCAGTGAGAGAGGAAGGGGACCCCGCCTAGAGAGCCAGATCAGCTGAATCAACCCTGGCAATCAATGGGGTAACAGATGTCACAGCCAGATCACCCTCACATGCCAAATGCTTCTAATTTTTTGAAAGGCAGCGGTACTAGATTTTTTCAAAGTACAATCCATCAGGCTCAAAAATAAACTTAATGCCCCTTTTCTCTATTGCCAAGGTGCTCAGTCCTTCTGAGGAAGCTATGGCTGTGTTGCACCAAGGCCTCACTTTCAAGACTAGCATCACAGCCAGAGTGCCAGCCCCACATCCAAGGGTGGCTGTATCTATTCAATCTTTATCTGCAGAATGATGAGGTGTCCTGCACAGAGGATAAGTTCAATGCCCTTGTTAAAAGCAGCTAGTATAAATTTTGAAACTTTTGGCCTAGCTTGTTTGCAAAAGCTCTGACAAACGTCAACACTGACACCCTTGCCTGCAATGCAGGATCTCATTGCAGGCAAGCTGTAGGCAAGTTGCAGGAGATGCAACTGGTGCACACCAGTAGTAGGCTCTGCCCCTTCCAATATGGCTGCCCTAGCTGAGAAGAAAGTGGAAGCAAGTAAAGAACAGTCTGAGGAGTCTGATAATGACAATGGGCATTGGTCTTTTTCAATAAACTTGTTTTGCAACATATTCAATAAAAAGCTGAGATATTAAAAATAAATTTAAGTGACCATGACTCATTTCTTCAGGAAATAAGTTGTGGGTAGCAGAAATGAATGTGGACCGCTTTTCCTTTTAAGAAAAATGACAGTATCAATTACTTTCAATATGACACACAAACAAATAGTTATTTTTTATTTAAAGTTCCTAAAATTTAGCCAGGCAAAAGTGGCTCAGGTCTTGGGAGGCGGAGATACAGAAGATCTTGGTTCAAGGCCAGTCTGGGCAAATACTTCACAAGACTCCATCTCCAAAATACCAGAACAAAATGGACTGGAGGTGTGGTTCAAGCAGTAGAGCACCTACTTTATAATTGTGAAGCCCTGAGTTCAAACCCCAACTTCCCCCCACACAAAATTCCTTAAGTACTAAATGAGATTTAATTTCTGCTGCCTAAATATGTAACCAGTACTATGTTCAAAATCACTTAAATATGCCCAAATCAATCACAAAAGACTGGCATTAGTCAGGCACAGGTGGCTCACGCCTGTAACCCTCGCTACTCAGGAGACAGAGATGAAGAGGATCACAGTTTGAAGCCAGTCTGGGCAAATATTTTGTGAGATCCTATCTCAAACAAACCCTTCACAAAAAAAGGGCTGGTGAAGTGGCTCAATGTGTAGGCCCTGAGTTCAAATCCCAGGGCCACAAAAAAAGGGGAATAAGAAAGTTAACCAGGTGTTGGTGGCTCACACCTGTAATCCTAGCTACTCAGGAGGCAGAGATCGGGAGGATCTCAGTTTGAAGTCAGCCCCAGGCAAACTGTTCTCAAATGGCTCATGGAGTGCCTGCCTACTAAGCATGAGGCCCTGAGTTCAAACTCCAGTACTGTAAAGACAGAGAAGAAACAGACAGAGACAGAGAGAGAGAGAGAGAGACAGAGACAGAGATTCTCCTACCTCATCCTCCAAATTCCACCTCCCAAGTAGCTAGCCACGCCCAGCTACTCGGGATAGGGTCTTACTAACTTTTTGCCTGGGCTGGTCTTGTACTGTGATCCTCTATCCTTGCCTAATAAAATTTAAATGAACAAAAAAAGGTACATTATACTATTTGTGTAAATGAAGGCAATTATATATACACATATGTGTGTGTGTATGTATTTCTCTGTAGAAGCATAGAATCTGAAGGATACTTAAGAAAATACTAATACCAGATGCCTTGGGATGGACAGAGTGAACAAGGAAACAGGAACAGAAGATTTATTTGCAGTTTTGTACCTTTTGAATTTTCCATCATTAACAAAAATTAACTTTCAAAACTCTACTCTAACATAAAAGTCTTCTGAAGAAAAGAGAGCTGTGCTTTTTTCTGGCCATGACATCATAGTATTTATTTGGGCCCAATTTAGTCAATGAATTCTACTAGGTTTTCCCCTGTGGCAGAAATATGTTATAATTAAATACAAGAAAAAAAAGTCATAGGAAATGGAAATTAAGCTCTGACCAAACTCCATTCAGTAGAGTTCACATGAGGTTCCCAAAACACAGGAGGAAAAGATGTCATACATAAAGTTTAATCTTTCCATACAACAAGATTATTTACTGCATATATTGGTTTTGGTTGGGGGGATGGATTTTTTGGTATGGGTAATCAAGTAGCTGGCAGTAGAAAATGATAAAAGTGTCAAGTGGGAATTGCATCATGTAAATGGAATAAAAGGCCCTCAATCTTCTGGATTAATGCTCACAGTGAATTTACAAAGAAGTACTAAATATTCAACATCTTTTCTATTAGAACAGCATTCTCTTCCATGTTTTTCTTCTATCCAATCTACAGCAGCCCCTTCCTGTGTGGGTATCACAGCTATTCACTCTCTCTTTTCCCTACAACTTGAAATTGTTGATTGCTCTTGTCTCTCATCAACTTCTTACACCCAGCTGGACCATTCATTCATTCATTCATTCATCCATTTCTAAAATCCTCTTCCTACCTACCACCTCAACCTCACATCTTCATCTCCAGTTATT